AGAGAGAGAGAGAGAGAGAGAGAGAGAGAGAGAGAGAACAATCCTGATATGAAAAACTACTCTACTGCCAGGGATAAATGCCATTTTGGAAAGTAAAGGGACTTCAAAGGCAATATGGATATGTGTTAAAGGGAAAAAATGGATGCATCCCTCCGACGCTATTAGCATGGACAGAGGAAGACTGAATGCTCCCACAAAATCTTGTCTTCTCCTCCTACTATTTCATTCCATCTTGTCATTGGGAATGAAAATTATCGCTTGCTTCTGATTACTAAGACCCCAACTCGAAAGATCTGACAAGAAATAACAATCGAAGTTTGAATCTCCTTACTTCATTGCAGGAGCAGCTACCGTCAGCTAACACGCTACACCAAGCCATATCTAAGCATAATCACAAGTACCAAATCTCACACGCCTTCAAACAACAAATGCGACAAAACGATTCGCACCCACCTGGTAATTAACTGTCACTTTTGCAGTACGAGAGTTTCAAATTAGAAATATGCAATGCGTTACGCCCGTAGTTTTAAAGCACGCGAAAGAAAAAAAACGAACAGAACCCTATTTTTACCTATTACCATAGTTCCACCATAGAATAAGGAGCAAAAAAGGAATAAATGGACAGAACCCTATTCCACCTACTTCCATCATGGACTAAAGAACCCAACAAAGAGATTAAGTTGAGAGCATACAGAGAGGGCGAGAAAGAAAACAAGCTTGAAGGAGAACTTGCGGAGTTCCTTGAAGAGTATGTAGCAGAGAACAATGAAGGCGGATCCAGCGAGAGATAGGCCCGCTGCGGTCGTGCCGAATGCCGCCAGAATCCAACGGTCTTTCACAGACAAACTTCCGGATATCGCCCTCGCGACCGCCATCGCTTGAAATTGCAGGATTTCCTTCTTCTCACTCGATCGAACGCCGGAAACTGTGCAGTTACGTCGTCTGTTTGGAGGTATTAAGCATCACGAAAGTATTTATTTCACCGTCCCAGATTAGATGATTTCGATAAAACAGCACAACTATGGAACAATGATACTGTCTACATGAACAGTTCTATTGAGGATAACCTGATCGCATTGATTTAGGTTTTAATTTCCGTACGAACCTGTTCCAACAAGGCAAATTTTTCATGTTTAGGTTTTGTTTTGGAAAACTATCAAATTTCATTTATTTCGTGTTAACATTCTTGAGCATATTCTTTCCCTTTTGGTAGTGTTATTTTCTAACATCTCTTGAATTTATTTTATCAAAAGAAAAATTTTTTTTTTTTTTTTGTTTTAGAACTCAGATGATAATGTCTATTCCATCACGTGATTTTTAATGATCTTAGTTTGTATTGCCTTAGCTTGATAATATTTGGTTTAATCTTGTTAGTTGAAGTTTAAACAATCATTTAATTGAAGACTTTGGGACTCCAAAAGATCTAAAATTTGTTATTTTAAACTAGGAAATAAAATGAAGAATATCTCAAACATTCATCATACTCCAAAGAAGACTTTGAAAAAGGTCGTTTGGTCACCAAAAAGTTAGTTTGGAGTTGATAGATTGACTTGAGTGATTGAAAAGTAATTTATATTTGTGGTCACCGCATCGATCCATCATTCAAGTCAATGTTTTATTTTGTTTTAATTTTTTGAGTTTTTTTATCATATTTGATCGTTTTGGTTTCTCGCAAGGCGTTTGAAACTATTAGCTTAAGTTTAATTCATTAAGTTCAATTGAGGAGATTTATACTCCCTCAAAAAAGATTATATTTTTCCTACAATATTGAGATAATAATTCCATACGATTGTTCACTTCATGTATTTTTTCCCCTTTTTTTAGCTTAGTGTGAATCTTAGCCATTTTACTTTTATTATCATGTGTGTATATGAAATTTTGCTCATATTTAGATTTTGAAAATTATATATTTTCTCCAAAAAATTTGATAGAGTTCTTAGTCTTGGTCTAGAAAGGGATGGAAAAGTACCATCTTATGTATAAATGTTGAAAATGGTGGGGAACATAATCATAGTAATGGCACTTGTGAGAAAACTCATAGTGATGACTACTTTTCCTGGTGATTATAAATTTTCTACTTCCATAAAATTGATCATTTATGAGTTGTATAGTTCTCATTGGTCATCTCTTATATGTAGAAATTGTGCTTCAGATGTTAGCGACACCACTTAAATTTTTATGGCTAAATATTTTGGCATCAAATAATACGTACCATCCTTATGCATTATTCTCTTAGCACTTAAATTTGCCTTGGAAAAACTCATAAAATAAATATAACAATCGAGAAAGAATAGTTGAGAAGAGGGCTAAGGGCTTGAGCTTAGACTCTTTTCTTTTTCCTTTTTTTTTAATTTTTTTTTTTATTATTGATAGAGCAGCATAGTTTCAACAAAGATTTCTATTTATAGAAGGACGAGAGCGAGAATTCTTCTTCCTCACTTAAAAATAGATTCAAGTAAGACTATATGAATCAATCAAATTTATTGCCTTGCAAGTTAAAGATGAGAAATAAAGAATTTAGAAACTCGTGTTTAACTTAATGGCTTGTATTTATAGATTCACAGATAATTGGTAACATGATAGAAATTTCTAATTTCTAAACTTGGCCATATCACCATTGTTGAATCTTTTTAGGATGGCGTATCTTGCATAGTTTTTAGATTCACTCAACCAGGAAGAGAATTTGTGAGATGAGAGGAGGCAGTGGAGAAAGATAGGATCCAATCACGTGTCTTACTTCTTATAGGTTTTTTCTTCCCTCCTTTGCCTCCCTCCTCCTAAAGGATTGAGGACTCCTCTATTTATATGCTCTATAAAATGCCCTTGACCCTCAAAGGGCTACAAAAGAGAAATAAATAGAAAATAGGATACCATAAGTCATATTGTATGAGGCTTGCTTGAGATTTATCATAGAAGGGTCATCATGAGTGACAGGCAGCTCATAAATGTGCATGGGCAGTGATAAATTTCTAGGGAGTCACCTCCCCTCTCATGTTTAGATGATTTTGTGAGGGGATAATATGACTAATAAGCCAACTCAACAATGGAGCATAGCATATGCAGGCTAGCTCAGGGGAGGAACTCATCATGTCCTTTCCATGGGTAATCATTATTGTTGAAACATATATAGATGTTGTTGATAAATGTGGCTAATCAGCTATATGGGTTGTTTATCTTGAAAATAAATTGGGTCTAGTGGTTCCATTTGCACCTACAATGACCAATGACAACTACTTTATGGTGTACATTTATAATTTTTATATAGTTTGTATCTCACATCACGCATGTCCATGAACTTAAACCATTACTACTTTCTAGTACTTGATCGAGTTAACCTAAGCACGACCAAGTTGATGTGCTAATCCTCTAAGTTGAAGGTTGTTGAGAAATAATTTATGGAATGTTCCAAAACCTCCCTTAACTAATGTATTTTTAGGGGCATCAATGATACTTTCCATTTAGTGTAGTAGCCCGAGTTAGACCTAGCATGATGTAGGTCATTCATACTTTGGAGATTTTTTTAGTGGTCAACAAAAGTCCTATGAGAATTATGATTTATATCTAAAATAAGGCATTTCATTATCCGATTTTAATTTTTTTCCTTATTGTCAATTTTACTTTTAAATTACGCTCTTCTTAAATATAAACAATTGTGTATTAAGTTATTACATTATTAAATTATTACATTTTTGAATTTTGTATATTTCAAAATCATATCATATAAATCTATGTGATTAGTAATTTTGATGTTGATTTCAAATTGCTATATGAAATCAATTTTCATAATTTCATATTAATTTTAGTACTAAATACACTTTATTAGATGCTAGAAAAAAAAATGTTAATAATTTATGAAATATGAAATGATACTTTTTTAACCTATTATAGTTAACTAATAAATGACCTTTGATGATGACGGTCTTAAATATGGATTAATTAAAGATTATTCATACTTTATAATTATTTAGTTGTGTCCTTAAGCATTAACAATAGCTCCTAATTTAATCACTAATTTATGTTGTTTATAATAATACTATTGTGTCATTTTAAAGCGCTCAATCATTATGAAAATAAAAAACTTTAAACAAATTGACATTTATTCCTCCAACCAAAATCACACTGATAAAACATAAAAAATATTGTGTCCGGAGACCGGACACAAAGCTACGTCCGGGCCAAGTGCGGCCGACCACTGCGTTGTTCGGACGTAGATTGTGTTTAGACTCTGAACGCAATATTTTTTCCATAAAATATGAGTTGAGATGCAAGGCGATAACTTTAGACAATTTATAAAAAGAAATTAACAAGAAAAACTTGAGTGAATATGATGGATTTTCAAGTGAGAATTTCAGCTCGATGTTTAACATTGTAGATAAAATTATAGATTTTCTCCTGCCCTTTAATGTGATAGATTTCACATGTCATGCATGTTTGATGACTTCTAATTCAGGGTGAGGAACAAGACTGATATTCCAATATGGGATACAAAATTCAATCACAAAAAAGTACATAAATTGAACTTGACATGACTTGCTTTGTAGAACACGATTTTGGCGTGTGAATGTTCGCTAATAACACCAGACAAGTCTTAGATTGAGAGCGAATATTTTTTTTTCGATTTCTTTTGACAACTATCGAATACTCCTAGCAAGTTGTCAAAATTTTCGAGAGAATATCTTTGGTGAATAGATGTCCTTGCAATAGCTTTGTACATAGGACAAATTGGGGTTATTTCTTCTTTGACCGAACAATATTTGATTTTTACAACTCAAGACCTTAAATGACTTGAACTTTAGAGTTTTAGATTGTTGACAATTCAATTTCAAAGCGGTTCGCTCTTGGAGATCTGTTGAAATCGATCCAATGTCAGTGAAAAATTAATAAACCGAATTCAAAAAGAAAACTTGATTAACCGAATTCAAAAGAATTTGGGCGTAGATACATGATATATGATATACATATTAGATTAAATATTGGATATATTTCTTATTTTTTTCACAACAAAAAAATACTTAAAATAAAATAATTTGCAAGTTAGTAATATGTATATAAATATAATTTGAATTTTCTTTATTTATTAAACAAAGTGAAAAACTTTTTGTTCTTAATAATAATAAACACATTTAAAATTTAGTACCATCTTACAATCATGCGCATCAAATTCTTTTGTTGCATAATTTAAATAAAATTTGAGTCATGAATTTAATATAGAATTAATTAAATATAAGAAAATAAAAATTAAATCAAATAGTCTGTAAATTAAATTTTTTCGTGTTCCAACATTTCTTCCAGCATTCCATCTTATTAGATAGATTGTAAGATAAATTTAAGAAAGATTGTAAGATAAATTTAAGAATTTTTTCTTACTCGCAATTTCATAGATGATCGAATTAACTGAATTTGGTAAATTCTATTTAACTTAAACATAATAAGGCCCAATGGTCCTGATCCATCCACCATCAAAACGCGGCTATCACCACATGGCCTTCTCGCAACCCAAGGAATCACCCCCCAAATAGATTAGAAAATATTTCTTCCAACCACCGGCTACCATGTCGTCATACATCTCATCGGCGGGCGACGTGATGATTGTTAAGAATTATAATAGGAAATAATTCTTCCTATAAAAAGTTATGAGAAATAAATTATTTTCTTAATATAATGAGATATTTCTTTTCCTATTTTATATTTATTTCTTTGAATTAAGAATTATTTGTTTTCTTAGTTTATGTTAATATGAATTAATTATTGGAGATATCATGTGATATATCTTTCCTATCATTTATCTGTTATTATTTTTTCTACTATAGGATATTTTTGTAAGAGTTATTTATTCCTCCGTTCATATTCATGAAATAATTCAGTATTCCACATTATTCTGAATTTCAACATGGTATCAGAGCAATGTTTTGTACTCTAGCCACCGGTCTTTCTTTGAGAATTGTCGGACCCTCTTCCAGTCATCCTCTATGCGGGAAGGGAGGGACACTCATCTTGATATTTGAAACGATGATTTTTTCTTCTCTCCAAATCCCAAATTCTCTTCCGCCTCTTTAGGTTACAGAAGTCATTGAAAGAATCACAAA